ATTTTCTTTTGTATTTCTCAGTTTTGAATGGTTCTGGTATTTGCTCTTTTTTTATGTTGGTCAGAAAAAGAAAACCACTAGAACACATCCCTCTTCTGAAAATTCACTTTAACGCTCAGATTTAGCAAAAAAATTCCGTTTTTAAATGCCTACCATGTGCTACCTATTGCTGCTGCGCAAAGCACTGATCTGATTGAACAAAACCGGAATTCATGCCTTCATGGAACTACATCCTGAATTTGGAGCTCCCTCAAATAACATTACACATCATGCTCTGTACTAGAAGGGATTCAGTACTGTGATACGAAATAATGGGGCTGGGGAAGAGGGGGTGAAGTGTGAGCCTACCTTAGTGAAGGTCAAGAAAGGCCTTGCTAAAGAAGTGACATTTAAGTTATGGCAGAAAGAAGATGCAATCAGATGGTAAGTGTTCAAGGCAGAGGGAAGAGCAAGGGAAAAAGCCCAGTGGTGGAAAAGTTTCATGTGTTTAAGGACTTGATAGAAGGCCCTGACTATGGAGCAGTGAATATGAGGGAGCATGCATGGCATGAGTTTATTTTTGAGTGCTTAATATATGCCAGATATCATGCATCCTCTTATGTAATCACTACCAGAAACCCACGAAGTTAGAAACTGTACCATTTCCAAAATAAATAAACAAGCATAGGCAAATTAACAAACTTTTTCAAAATCACATAGCAAGTGGTGGAGCTTGGACTCGATTCAATGCAGTATCAATCCAAAGCCTACATTTTTAACTCCACCTTACAGCCAAAGTTAAAGGTAAGCAGTAGCTAAATCACATGGGACTTTATATACTACGGTAAGGAGCTTGAATTTATTTCTTAATTAATTAGAGTATTATTTTTGCACTTTAAACACAGTGGAAAGTCACTGAAAGGTTTAAGAGACTGGTGCAGCCACTATGGAAAACAGTATGAAGTTTCCTCAAAAAATTAAATATGGAACTACCATTTGACCCAGTGCTCCCACTTCTAAGAATACATCCTAAGAAACCTGAAAGACCAATTAGAAAGAATTTATACACCCCTATGTTCATAGCAGTGCAATTTACAATAGCTAAGACCTGGAAACAGCCCAAGTGCCCATCATTAGATGAGTAGATGAAAAAGCTGTGGTCCATTTACACCATGGAATACTATGCAACTATAAAAAAGTATATCTTCCCCTTTGGGACAGCATGGATGAAACTGTACAGTATTATGCTAAGAGAATTAAGCCAGTCAGAGAAAGACAGGTATTACATGATCTCACTCATATGTGAAATATAATGAACAAAATAAACTGATGAACAAAATAGATACAGAGTCTCAGAGGAAAGGCAGGGGTGGGGGAGTGGGTGGGGAGAGATTAATCAAAGAACTTATATGCATTTATGCATAACTCATGGACATAGACAATAGTNTGTGATACGAAATAATGGGGCTGGGGAAGAGGGGGTGAAGTGTGAGCCTACCTTAGTGAAGGTCAAGAAAGGCCTTGCTAAAGAAGTGACATTTAAGTTATGGCAGAAAGAAGATGCAATCAGATGGTAAGTGTTCAAGGCAGAGGGAAGAGCAAGGGAAAAAGCCCAGTGGTGGAAAAGTTTCATGTGTTTAAGGACTTGATAGAAGGCCCTGACTATGGAGCAGTGAATATGAGGGAGCATGCATGGCATGAGTTTATTTTTGAGTGCTTAATATATGCCAGATATCATGCATCCTCTTATGTAATCACTACCAGAAACCCACGAAGTTAGAAACTGTACCATTTCCAAAATAAATAAACAAGCATAGGCAAATTAACAAACTTTTTCAAAATCACATAGCAAGTGGTGGAGCTTGGACTCGATTCAATGCAGTATCAATCCAAAGCCTACATTTTTAACTCCACCTTACAGCCAAAGTTAAAGGTAAGCAGTAGCTAAATCACATGGGACTTTATATACTACGGTAAGGAGCTTGAATTTATTTCTTAATTAATTAGAGTATTATTTTTGCACTTTAAACACAGTGGAAAGTCACTGAAAGGTTTAAGAGACTGGTGCAGCCACTATGGAAAACAGTATGAAGTTTCCTCAAAAAATTAAATATGGAACTACCATTTGACCCAGTGCTCCCACTTCTAAGAATACATCCTAAGAAACCTGAAAGACCAATTAGAAAGAATTTATACACCCCTATGTTCATAGCAGTGCAATTTACAATAGCTAAGACCTGGAAACAGCCCAAGTGCCCATCATTAGATGAGTAGATGAAAAAGCTGTGGTCCATTTACACCATGGAATACTATGCAACTATAAAAAAGTATATCTTCCCCTTTGGGACAGCATGGATGAAACTGTACAGTATTATGCTAAGAGAATTAAGCCAGTCAGAGAAAGACAGGTATTACATGATCTCACTCATATGTGAAATATAATGAACAAAATAAACTGATGAACAAAATAGATACAGAGTCTCAGAGGAAAGGCAGGGGTGGGGGAGTGGGTGGGGAGAGATTAATCAAAGAACTTATATGCATTTATGCATAACTCATGGACATAGACAATAGTATGGGGAAGGCCTGGGGGTGGGGTGGATCAATGAGGGGGAAAAGGGGAGGGGCATCTTGTAAATACTTTCCACCATAAAGATAAATTTAAAAAGAAAGGTTTAAGCAAAACAATAACATCTGATTTACTTTTCTACAGTGGCTGCTGTGTGGAGGCCAGAGGGAGAGTAGGAAGGGCAATCTGGACTAGAAGTAGACAAATTCAAGATCTATTTTGGAGCAAATCAGACTTGCCAATGATCTGGATACATGGTATTTAGAAAAAAGGAAAAGTCTAGGATAACTTCCAGGCTTCTGATTTAGTAACAAAGGGATCACCACCACGGATAAAAATGAAATGATTCAGGATCAGACAAAGTTTGGGAAGGAGAAGTAGATTCATTCAATAATTCAACAAATCTTATAAGCATCTACTATGTGAGGATAAAGCAGAGTACAAAACGAATAAAGTCTTTCCCTCACAGAGCTTACATTTTTGGAGTGGAGGGCAGTTAGACATATTAATATGTAAGCCTTAGATGGCAATAAGTGCTATGGAAGACAATAAAGCAGGTAACCTGGGAAAGGGGGATACTATTTTAATGGTTAAAAAGAGTTTCCCTAGTAAATGAGCAGAGGCCTAAAGGAAACAAAGGAAGCAGCACGGAAGATTTTTGAAGAGCTCCTAGCAATCTGGTATAGCAGAGTAGGTAAGGGAAAAAAGGACAGATCAGAGAACAGGCAATGCAGAACTCTGATTAAGGGTGTTGGGTTGTTTTGGTTTTGGTTTTTGGCAAAACCTTTCAGGAAACCCCTGAAAGATTTCAAAGAGGAATGAAGAAGTGGTGTTACTCTGGTTGCAATATGGAAATAACACTGTAGGGGAGCAAAAGTGGAAGCAGAAGCTCAAGAGGCAATATTCCTTTGGTGGATCAACCCAGGTAGTGATGAAACAGTCAGACTTAGGATAGCTTTTGAAGAGTGCATAGAATTTGTTGATGGGATTAGATAAGGTAGCATTAAGAAAGGAGTCAAGCAAGACTAAGTTTTTTGGCCTGTACCAAAGAAGAATGAGGTCACCATTTACTGGGTTGGCACAAGCACGGGAGGAACAGATTTATGATGGAAAATAAGTTCAGTTTGCCAAGATAGAGATACTTATTACAAATTTAAATATAGATGTTGAGCAGGCAGCTGTTTTCTGGACCCGAGAGAGGTCTGGTTTGGATAAAGCCTGGCAGCCTTCAGCATACAGACAGTATTTAAATCATGAGAACAGAGGTAGGAAAACGTACAGATAGAGGATCCAGAACTGAACCCTTGAAAAACTCCATCATTCCCACATTCCCGTCTCATACCAAGTATTCTTACAATTAAACTGCTTTAATTTTTAAAGCTATCACTTACTAGATCAGTTTCTAAAGTCATCAAGTGCATCAACCACACACAGCGATGAACTAAAAAGATTATATTCTAAAATCTCCTCAAGACAGAAACCCCCCCCCCCACAAAATCCATTCATGATGAGAGGAAAACTAGGAACTCTAAACATTTCCAAAGTTAGAGGTTGAGCAAACTACTGGTTAAGTGCATGCATGATATGTGGGTCTAGGATGTCTGGATCTTAATTCTGATCCCTACACTCATTTATGAGACCAAGGGGAGGGCCCTTACCGTGCAGTTTCCTCAGCAATGAGTTGGGGATAATAACTTATTGAGTTGTAAGTGAATTAATACCTGAAATTTTGCGATCAAAAAGTTAGCTATCTTACTATTATTGACACTAAGTTACTGAAACAAAACTGTGGGGGGGGAGGGGAGAGACACTTGAACTGAACACACTAATTCTTCAATTACCTTAACCAAGGACTTGTAGCTGTTTTCAATTCTCTTCAACTACGGGCTTACAGCTCCTTGTCTGGATTTTCAAAGCCAAAACATACCCCTAAACTCTTTAGCATCCAAAACAATCAGGGAGCAACTCGCTAGTCCCAGTTCACACAGAGTAAGCATGCCTGATAACAAGGGCCAGCTGTGACACAGGCTTCCAGGGCTCCAATCCCTCGCAACCAGTTACTTGATTCCCTTCGGGTCTCTCCTCTAGAGAATGAATGTGTTTTCGGAGAGAGGTTAAACCAAGCCTTGATTGGGGGTGCAGCAAAGTGCCGAGAATCCATCTCTAAGGCAGCAACAGGGAGAGACTTCTCCCGAGTCACCACCTACCCATTCTCCCGGGCACCCAGGAGCACGGCGGGGTCAGACTCCCCCCCGGGTGAGGAAACGGCGACCTTCCCTCACCTAACCCCCACCCCCGACCCTGCTCCCTGGGAGCAAAGCAGATACCCTCCGACGTCCCCCTTCTCTCGCGGGATTCCCGGGTCCAGACCTGGGCCTCAGGCTCCAGCCTCGGGCGCGGAGCCGAGGAGACGCCGGGGGAAGAAACAATAGGGCCGTGGCGGCCGCCGTACCTCTCCCGGTCGCGGCCGTCGAAGTAGACGAAGTCGCCGTTCTGGACGCACTTGGCGCAGGTCAGCCGCCGGCGGGTGGTGTTGCACAGCGGACACCGCTCGACCGCCACGTACAGACCCTCGGCGTCGTCCACCGAGTCCACCAGGTCCCCGGCGGCCGGCCGGGGCCCGCAGCCAGGAGCCTCCGGCGCCCGGGCTCCCTTCCCACTGGGAGACGCCATGATAGCCTGAGAGCAGAGCCAGTCACGTGGGATTTTGTTTTCAACCAGATGCATCCTGGGCGAGGGGGAGGGGCCTGGGGAGGCGCCGGGAGAGCCTCCGGCGGGCGGGCGGCGCTGTCGCCTTTCCCGGCCGCTGCAGGGCGGCGGGTCTGGAAGCCCGGTGAGTCCGTCCGAGGGGCGAGCGAGCCAAACAAAATGGCTTCGGCGCTGGATCGAGCCAAGGCTCCAGGTTAACGCCTCTAACTCGGGCAAGCACGAGTAATACGATGCCCCGAGGAGGCAGGGAAAAGGGATTGGGATCAAAATAAAGGGCTTCCTTGAATTCGCTATGGATGCTTTAAAATTTGGCTAAAACTACAGCAAACGAAGTTGGTGAGGGGGCTGGGTCTTGGAATGAGATCTGATTTTGGCTCACCCAAACAGCTGTGTGTGTGGTTTGGGGCGAATTCCTAACCTCTCTTGGCCTCTGATCTCCATCTGTTAAATGGAGAAGTACCTACCTAACCAGCGTCGTGGGAACTACTAAGAAAATACGTTTAATAGTAATCTCGTAATACTTCACCAATAACAGCTAACCAGTGGAAACAACCGTACTACTGAACGTGGAAATCAATTTTGTATGTTTCTGAATTTTAGTGAAAGCAATGGCCAGCATTCCTCCCGTACCTACTGTGTCTGGGCCACGCTCTGAGGAAGAATTTGAACTAGGTAGAATTTAACCTAGATAGGCTCACTCCCAGTTTATTTTTCAGGGGTAAATAGGGTGGGTCATAAGATTATGTCAAAGTAATTAGTGTTTGAATAAGTCTCTAAACCACAGAAGGAAAAAAAAAAAGTGGGCTTATAGGTCAAATTATCTAGACCAGTGACTTCCAAGGATTATTTTGGTAGGCTGTCATTTGATGACTGCCCTAAATTCCCTCTCTAGCAGGGACTTCTCTCCCAAGCTCCATACCTAAGGATTCGTAATGGCCTGCTAGGCAGCAAGTGATGTACAGTGGGCACCCCAAGCTCAGCATGTTGGAAACTGAACTCTTCGTCCTCACAAATCTGTTTCCTCATCTTGGTGAAAGACATAATCACTGCCACTTGGGGCCATGAGTCAAGTTAGCCTCTTCCTCCCTGTTAAGGTTAACAAATGCACATCTCCATCAAATGCCCATGATTAAACCCAAATGCTAAACCCTTTGCTCCATCCTCTTAGTTTTATCTGGTCTGTTTTACATGGGATTACAAAGGCACACAAAAAACAAAAATTCCCCATACTGTTTCAAAACAGAGCTTACACTAAACCTGAATGGTTCTTGAAAGTTGAAGATTTATTTTTAAGTGAGAGAAGTACATTTCTCTGATAATTTCAAACAACAACAAAAAATGTGATTTTTCTTAAGGTTTCAGACTTTCATGTTTCATTTGTATTCTGACAGGATCCTTCACAGTGCATGTACCTAATAGCTAAGATCATCTACTCAATATTTTAAAAGGCAAAAAAATACACACTGATTTCTATCCTGCTAGATTTTATGCAGTTATTTGAAATTTCTATATATCATCATGCATTTCCAGAGGACACATTATGCACTACATCTTTAACAAGAGCAGAGCATCAAATTTTAATGATGCTACAAAATCATTTTAGCGAGGCCCTAAATCTCTCACATTCTGAAATAAGTTTACTTGTTCAGTTTTTAAAATAACACACAAGAGTCGTTTTGAATAAGAAGTTTTCATTTCTTAGGCATGGTTACTCACATAGAATCACCTTTTAATAAGTAAAGTCAAAATGTGTATGGAACATCTACAATTAAAGGTAGAAAAATCCAGCTGTTTCTGTGCTGGGCACGCACTCAAACCAATATACTGTGAGATGTTGAATGATATACTCAGGCTTTTTTAAAACCCTTTAGAATGGGATAGATGTTTTCAAATGCTTCATAGATCTCAGAACGTTCTTTGGCACCTGTAAAGAAATTCAATTTTATATAATCTTTAACAACAATTTCAAAATTTTCTTAAGACTAAAATTTAATTGTCATCTCCAATAACTTTTAATATGATGACATCTCTTTAGGTGTACCTGAGAAGTGACATTTATTGCTAATAAAAACAGAATTTGGTGATTACATCCACAAAGATACACCCTAGAGCAGAGTTTTCTAGTACTTCTACTGTGGGCATATCACATCATCGTTAGCCACATAAAGCTCAGTATGAAATAAGGAATGTTATTTCTAAGTGTGCCTTGAATATAACCCCAGGACATGACCTTCATCAGCACCTGTAGGCATCTAGCTACCAGCAAAAGGGATTTCCTTTGATTCATTTATCCCTAGTTAACATTGTGATTCCCTAATGTTGTTGACTAACAGAGTGAGATAAACTGGAGCTAAAGTTTTAAATGTCAGTGTATGGGAAGGGATTATTAGAGGAAAAAATTGTACCACTGTCACCCCTAAGAATCTTAAATTCCCAGAGATCTTTAATGATAACAAACTGCTCTAACAGTTAAAGGGATAAAACCATGAATTAGACATGGTGCCTGCCCTTGAGAGATAGTCATTCAGTCCCTACTCATCTCTCACCACCACCAACCACCACTAACTTCAAAGCTATGCAGGCACATTGAACTAAGGATTATGCCCTGGCATTACTCGTGTATATGGAGCTGTCAGCTAATCAGGAAATTATTGTGGGAAGGAGGCAAGGAGATTAATGAAAGAAATATAAAAATTTAGCATGAAGAGGAATGGAAAATAGCTTACGTTGATAAAGGCTTCCTTGGGAGCTACAAAGTTAGGGAGGAGGAAGGCTCAGTAAGAGCAGAAATAACCTCTGAGAAGTGGCTATCTGGTTTAATTACAGGACTTATCTCAGGGAATTACCCAAAGGAGGATCACGGGATTTGAGAAGCAGGTAGAAATCAGGGTTCAGAACCAAAGATGGGCTATAATTTTAAAAATGGGGGGAAAAAGGAAAATGGCAAATGTTGGTAAGGATTTGTAGAAATAGGAACCCTCGTACATTGCTGATGGGAATGTAAAATGGTTCAGCCGCTATAGAAACAGTTTGGCGGTTCCTCAAAAAAGTTAAAATAAGAATTACCACATGACCTGGCAATTCCAATCCTGGGTATATATCCCCCTGACCAAACTGAAAACAGGTACTCAGATAACACACATGTAGACTCTCGTTGATTGCAGCACTATTCAAAACAGCCAAGAAGGGAAACAACCTGAGTGTATATCAACAGATGAATGGATGTACAAACTGTGGTATATATACAATGGAATATTATTCAGCCATAAATAGGAATTAAATACTGATAAAGGCTACAATGCCGATGAACCTCAAAAACTAACTGAAAGAAGCCAGACACAAAAGGTCACATATTGTATGATTCTGTTTATATGAAGTAACCAGAATAGATAAATCCAGAAACAGAATACACATTGGCTACCAGGGGCTAGTGGAAGGGAGAATGGGAGGAAACTGCTTAATGATACAGGATTTTATTTTGGAGTAATGGAAATGTTTTGTAACTAGACAGAGGTGGTGGTTGTACAACATTGTGAATGTACTAAATGCCACCGAATTGTTCACTTTATGTGAATTCTACTTCAATAACAATTTTTAAATGTTTTTAAAGAATCACAGATGAAGTCTTTATGAGCTTAAATTATTTTTGAGAGGTAAGGGGGAAAAGTTATGTATTCACTGCCAAGGAGTTTACTATCTGTGAGTCTCCACCCTCAAAGATGAGGGGTAGGGAGGAGAGGGAGTTATTGACACAGATAACAGAAACTCTGTACCTTTGGGGTAGGAGAAACCCCGTAAACCTCAGCAGATTTTTGTTACAGCACTAAAATTTTAGTTTCTAAAGAGAATGGTTGTGTAGAAACCAAAGAATGAGTTGGGGAAGAAATAAAACACCAATATATTAAAAAACAATATATTAAAAAACTAGAGAGTATTATGCTAAGTGAAATAAGCCAGTTAGAGAAAGATAAATACCACATGATCTCACTCATATGTGGAATAAATGAAATAAACTGATAAACAAAATAGGCCCAGAGACATAGAAGCATGGAACAGACTGAGGGATCTCAGAGGGAAGGCAGGGGTGGTAAAGTGGGTGGGGAGAGATTGAGCAAAGAACTTATATGCTTATATGCACAACCTATGGACACAAACATTTGTATGGGGAAGGCCTGGGGGTGGGGTGGATGCAAGGGTAGAGGGGATCAATGAGGGAAGAAAGGGATATCTGTAATGCTTTCAACAATAAAGATAAATTTTTTAAAAAGTTTTAGAACCCTAAGAAACTGGGCGGGGGAAAAGTGAGTAAAACAATAAAAATAAAAAAAAATAAAAATAAAAAAATAATAAAATAAAATAAAATAAAAAATAAAATAAAATAATAAAATAAAATATAAAATAAATAAAATAAAATAAAAATAAAATAAAACACCAATATATTAAAATAACAAAATAAAACCCTCCCTGCCTCTGGTTTGATGGACTTTTCTGGCTTCTAAATACATTTGAATGGAACAGCCTTCTTGTTAGGAGACAATGAGGTATAGTTAGCAGACCCACTCCCACTCCCCACCCCCAAAAATACCAAAGTAAGGTTCTTTTTACATTTCATTGAGGAACAGTGTCTAGGTCCAGAATTTTGGATAATTATACACTTCAGTTTTATCATAACACTTGAAAGAAAAAATCATACCTAAGAGCACTGCATTCAAGCCCAAAGACTGTAACATTCTGGTATCCCCTGGGGAGCAGAAAACACCTATCACCCAAGAGGGACCAGGCACTGAGAGTGAGTGTTGTTTTATATTATAGGAAACCTTTAGAACAAAGGGCTTTAGGGAGATTGTTTAGGACAATTTCTTCACTGCATGTGTGGGAATACTGGGGCCCAAGAAGGTGAAGTTCCCTTGAATAATGAATACCAGCCATGAGAGAAGATCTCATGTATCCAGTGGTCCTTCTTTTGCACCAAAGTCATCAAATAAACATTGCCAGGATTTGTAACTGGATGTTAAAATGAGCAGATTTGGTCAATTTAGTGGAATGTTTCCTCAGTGAAATTACTGGCATCAAAATTGTAAGGGAACCCAAAGCAATCTACAGTTTCAATGCAATCCCTATCAAAATATCAATGGCACTTTTCACAGAACGAGAACAAATAATCCTAAAATTTCTATGGAACCACAAAAGACCCCAAAAAGTCACAGCAATCTTGAGAAAGAAGAGCAATGTTGGAGGTATCACGCTACTTGATATCAAAGTATACTACAAGGCTTTAGTAATCAAAACAGCATGGTATTGGCATAAAAACAGGCACATAGATCAATGGAACAGAATAGAGAGCCCATAAGTAAACTCACCCATATGGGTCAATTAATCTATGAAAGGAGGCAAGAATATACATTGGGGTCAAGACAGTCTCTTCAGTAAATGGTGTTGGGAAAACTAGACAGACACATGCAAAAAAATGAAGACAGACCACTTTCTTACACCATACACAAGAATAAACTCAAAATGAATTAAACACTTAAAATATAAGACCTGAAACCATAGAACTTTGGCTCCACAAAGGAAACCAACAACAATAAAAAAGGCAACCCTATTTTTCATGGTGCCTCAAAGGCAGTCGGCTGCTTCAGGAAGCAGCTGGACATCTCTCTCCCAGTCACTGGCTGCCAGAAACTCATTGAAGTGGACAATGAATGCAAACTCTGTATCTTTTACGAGAAGTGTATGGTCACAGAAGTTGCTGCTGACGCTCTGGGTGAAGAATGGAGGGGTTATATGGCTCGAATTGGCAGTGGGAATGACAGAGGTTTCCCTATGATGCAGGCATGGTGTCTTGACACATGGCCGTGTCCACCTGCTGCCAAGTAAGGGGCATCCCTGTTATAGCCCAAGGAGGACTGGACAAAGCACAAATCTGTTCAGAGTTGCATTGTGGATGCCAATCTGTGTTCTCAACTTGGTCATTGTAAAAAAGGGAGAAAGATATTCCTATTCTCGCTGATACTGCTATGCCTTGCCACCTGGGGCCCAAAAGAGCTAGCAGAACCCACAAACTTTTCAATCTCTCTACAGAAGATGGCGCCCACCAATATGTTGTGAGAAAGCCCCTAAACAAAGAAGGTAAGAAACATAAGACCAGAGCACCAGAGATGCAGCATCTTGTTACTCCACATGACCTGCAACACAAACGCCAACCTATTGCTCTGAAGAAATAGGGCTTGAAAAAAAATAAGGAAGAGACCATGGAATATGTTAAACTTTTGGCTAAGAGAGTGAAGGAGCCCAAACAAAAATGCCAGGAACAGACTGCCAAGAGGCGTAGGCTTCCTCTCTGAGGGCTTCTACCTCTGAACCCAGTCAAAAATGAGATTTTCTAAGAGTAACAAATAAATAAGAACAGACATCAAAAAACAAACAAGAAGGCAACCCATGGAATGGGAGAGATATTTGTAAATAACATATCCAAGAAGGGGTAAATATCCAAAATATATAAAGAACTCATACAGCTCAATATCAAAAAAGCCAACAATCCTATTTAAAAGTGGGCAGAAAATATAGATATTCTACAAAGAGGACATACAGGTGCCCAACAGACACATGAAAAGATGCTCAACATCACTAGTCAAAAGGGAAATGCAAATAAAAACTACAATGAGATATTACCTCACACCTGCCAGAATGGCTATTATCAATAAATCAACAAATAAGTGTTGTCGAGGATGTGGAGAAGAGGGAACCCTAGTATACTGTTGGTGGGATTGTAAATTGATAAAGCCACTGTGGAAAACAGCATGGAGGTTCCTCAAAAAATTAAAAGTAGAACTACCATGTAACCCAGCAAGTCCACTTCTGGGTATTTATCTGAACAAATCTAAAACACTGATTCAAAAAGATATATGCACCCTTATGTTCATTGCAGCATTATTTGCAATTGCCAAGCTATGGAAGCAACCAGGTGTCCACTGATGAGGTACATATATACAATAAAATATTACTACTCAGCCATAAAAAAGAACGAAATCTTGCCATTTGAGACATCATGGATGGACCTGGGAGTATTATGCTAAATGAAATTAAGTCAGACAGAGGAAGACAAATACCATATAGTTTCACTTATATGTGGAATCTAAAACACAAAATAAGCAAACAACAGAAACAAACTCACAGATACAGAAACTAATGGTTGCCAGATGGGAGGGTGTCGGGGGATGAGTGAAAAAGGTGAAAGGGATTAAGAAGTGCAAATTGTGAGTTATGAAAACAATCATGAGGATGTAAAGTACAGCATAGGGAAGAGAGTCAATATTATTGTAATAACTATGTACGGTACCAGATGGGTACTAGACTTCTTATGCTGATCACTTCATAACATACCAATGTCTAATGACTATGTTGTATACCTGAAACTAATACAATACTGTTTGTCAACTATAATTAAAAAATATATAAACAGCAAAAAAAACAACTTTTAAGGGACCCTAAATTGGCCCCATACTCCTTTCAATAACTAATCAATAATCAAACATCCCAGTTTGTAGCGCCAGACTCTGATTAGATGACCATTGCCTTTTAAGCAAAACTTACCAGACCTTTCCTTCAGTTCTAATGACCATCACTTTGGGGTAAACACCATTCCTAAGCTTGGGGACTGAGGTGGAAATTCTGTGGCTGGTGCACTGGAGAAAAAAAACTGGCTTTGAGAGCAAATGACATGAGCTCAAAAGGCAGTTCTACCACTAACTAGCTCTGAAATCACAGGCAAATTGTTTACCTTCTGAGTTTCTGTTTCCTTACCTATAAAATAAGGACAGTAGCCTTTCTCAAAGGGTTGTTATCAAGAGTTAAGTGAGGGAAGGTTTGGAAGAAGTCCTTTTTGAACCTTAACGTTTTACAAAAGCTAAGCCATTAAAAAAAAATCTAAGCCATTTTATTGCTCTAGAAGAATGTACTTCAGGGTTAGGGGAGTTAGGATGGCTGGTCAAAGGACACATGCACCATCATTTGTTTCTATGTCTCCTTCACAGGGCTTGATTCCTGCCAGATGGGGAGTGTGTTATACTCTTTTATATCCTCAGCAGCTGAAATGTGTACTGGTAGGCACTTAAAGTTTATTAAAGATCTATCATCTGTCAATAAGAGTTTGTAAGCTTTCCCTACCCCTTAGGCAGCCCAAATATCAATTTCCAATATTACTTGGATTTTCTAATTCTAGTCTTACACTAAACTATAAATACATATCTTATTTTCCCAAGTGATATCGTGTGTGTGTGTGTGTGTGAAAAACAGTATTAAACCTCTAAAGGTATGCATTTTACAGTATATTAGTGGGACATTACCAATAATGATTGACAGGAATAGTCTGTTCTCGCTGGCTTAGTAACTAATCAAACCAGTCTTGCCATTTTTACTCTGCTCTCTGACCTGCTCTTTTCCAAGAACCACTGACATCTAGCTGATTGAGACGGACCCTGGGTAACAACAACCCGACTTCTTAGCTCTCTACACTGGAGGGAAATAAGTAAACGCGAAGCATTTAACTAAAGCCTCTTTAGATTTCATATTCCTATCATCAGGGCAAGGCATCACAGCAAAACTCCAGTCTTTCTCAATGCTAGGGAAAAAAAGCAAGGGGAGTGGGCTTTCACCGAGGAAAAGTAGCTAATGTTCATACTATGCTTACCTATGCCAGGCACTGTTTTTGTTTCCTCACAACACTGAGTGGGCAGCTTCTGTGGCCACCTGCACTCTGCGTATGTGGAAATCAAGGTGGAGAACTTAAACTCACCCAAGGTCACAGAGCCAATAAATAAATGGTAAAGCCTGGATTCAAAACGGACAGTTGGCCTGCACAGCCCATCCTCTTGGCCACCACACCTGCTGCCTCTCCCACCACGAGAGTATTTATCATTTCTCCAGCTGACAAGGAGGATTAGAAAGGTGCACAAAAGACCACACAGGTGTCTCCATGGACATCTGAAGAGCTGGGGGACAGGGCGAGGACATGAAGACGATGGGCTCTGCAGGCAGGCTGCTCAATTCCCACCTGGGCTGTAGCACATACAGCTGTTTGACATTGTTAAGGTTACTTAACTTCTCCATTGTACAACCTCACAGACTTAACTAGAACCCACATAAAAGCCCTTAGCACAGCGCCTCACACCTGAGTGCCCAACCTATGTTAACTGTATTATTATGTCTTATCTTAGAAGTCAAAATTGACATATTTGCCGTTCATTGTATATTATTCCAGCAGATCCTAGCTATACTGTAAGACACTGACTGGCTTTTATTTCACAATATAAGCAGAAATGTGGACTTTAATTAATACATCTCATTCCCCTGGCCACAAAGTGACCTATGTTTTGCAAGAATGAAGAAATTTAGCTCTGCCTAGTCTATGTGCTGAATGCGTTAACAAATTTTAAGGCAAGTGCGTTGCATGGTTGTCAGTATTGCATGTTGGCAACCCTTTGCTTTTGTGATTTGTAACTTCTAGCAAATGTGTACATAAAAATTTTTCTTCCTTTTAATTTGGGGCAAGTGGGAAAGCTGGTCTGAATTAAGAATATTTAAAGAAACTTTTGTTTGTATACCTACAATAGAAGCAGCCTATACTTGGCAATTTGCTCTTTTAATAAGGCTGATTTCTAATGGCACATAGCATATATATGAAAGTATTCTTCCAAAGGTCTTGAAAAGTTTATTTCCTTAAATAGGGTATACACTGACCTCCAATTCTATTCAATTTACTTGGCAGGCTTCCTTTAGGACATACAGAGGTAAACTTTGTCAGTCACTAGGAGATCTTAATTATTTTAGATTCTGTATTGGTGGCATCTGAGGAATTGTAACTTTGCTGTATTCAAAAAGTTCTTGAATTCCAAACAGGCTTTCCCCACTTTGAAGACACAGTCGTTATTTCTTAGAGAAAAGCACACTACGAAACTATACTGGGAATTATAAAAGACGACTTAGGAACAGACATTCCGTGTTGCTAGATGCTGAGAGATAGCTTTATCAATTTTTCTCAAATTAATTAAGTAGTGTAAAAATCTCACTTTTTTTTAAAAGATAGAGTTAGACTTTATAAAATTCTAAAGTTTATTTGGAAGCATATTGAAGAGGAGGAAAGAAATATAAAAAGAGAAGCAATGAGAGAAAACTGGCTCTATCAGATATAGAGACCATTAGAATTAAAGCACATTTACAGCACAGGAGTATAAACACAACAGGATTATCATAGCATAATTCTGGAGCAAAGGCAGAACTAGAGAACAGACCCATGTATAAAAATAAAGGTCAAAGGAGTCATCACAAATTAATGAGGGAAGACTGCGTAGCGTTCAGATGGCTGACTAGCTGTTTAGGGATGGAATGTGGAGATCACTTTCGCTCATGCCATACAAACTTGGCATTCATTTTGGTAGAGAAGAGTAAAATGTGTAAAAAGTCAGACAAAAATAGCAAACTTCAGTAGAATGTATAGAAAAAGGAGTCTCAACTACTTACTTCAAGAATTTAAAAAACCCTTCTTTATGTAAATATAAGTCAGCTGGAAAAAAGTCACAAATATAACAGAGTAATTATTTTTAACATTACGGTAAACTCATACAAATCCTTAGGGGGGGAAACTAATAAAAGTAGACAAAAGGAATAAGTTATGTACCCACTATTTATAAAAGACAAAGTTATCTTTATTGGATATAGTAAAAGTGATCAATTTCTATTTCTGATTACCAGTGAGGTTAAAGCAGTGAGATAATTTCCACTTGTAAAAAGAAAGCTTTCTTTTATGCTGTTTTGTTTTTTCATGCTGCTGAGGGTTTTTAAAACATGCTTCTATACACTGCTGGTAGGAACATATGATATAGGAGAACTGTATTGTATGATCCCTTCAAAAACAATTTGGTAATTTGTTCCAAGAACCTTAAAAATGGCCATATCCTTAGACAAAAATTCCATTTCTGAGCATCCACAATAAAATACTTCCTTACACATAAAAATAGCCAAATGTTTGTGCCATTTATAGGCAGCAAACAAAGAAGGAACATTTAAAATAACATGTTGGAACAGAGGTCAGGAAAGAAGCCTGCTGGCTAAATCTAGCCTGTTGCCCGTTTTGGTACAGCCTGGGAGCTAAGAATAAGTTTTATATTTTTTTAGAAAGAAGAATATTACATGACACATGTAAATTGTATGAATTATGTTAAAGTCACATTTCAGAGCCCTTTCCTTCATGTAATGCCCATAGCTACCTTGGCACAACAACTGTAGAGTTCAGTTATGGCGACAGAGACCCGACGGCCAGCAAAGCCTAAAATGTTTAGTATTTGGCCCTTTTCAGAAAAAGGTTTGCTGACCCCTTTGGGAGAACATTGTGCAGCCATTAAAAGCCTCCATAAAGAGTTTGTAACAAGGAGTTTAAGGTACATGTGTTAACAATGGTTAATAAAAAGGCAGGATGTAAAGATGAATATATATGTCAAAATGACAGAAAAACATGAAAAGGTTACATTGTTTTGGGCACTGGGACTGATGGGTGAAGTTATATTCCTTCCTACTTTTCTTTGCCCCAGGTGTTCTATAATAAGAATTACTTTATAATGGTGAACAAAGCTATTTAAAAGGAAAAACAAAGCACACACAGAGCTACTGAATTTTAGAAAGTCAGAAAATAACTTTAGAACTTACCTGTCAACACAACTTTTCCAGATACGAAGATAAGCAGCACAATCCGTGGCTTTACCATTCTATAAATGAGGCCAGGAAACAGTTCAGGTTCATAACTGTTAAGATAAAAAAGGAAAAAGTTAAAAATAGCACTATTCAACTACTTTCCCATAATATTTGAGACCCTGTATATATTAAAGCTAAATATTAAAGCAGTTTTTAAAAATTGTTTTGCCAAAAACCTTTTGGCCGTCTTAATAAGTAGTCTTGGGTATGCTAGGTCATTTCTTGGCCAGTTGAGAACAGAATTCATTTTGGGCCACGATATTTTTTTCAAGTACATGTCATCCTAAGCTATTAGAAATGAAGGTAACTTAAGGCATCAGATTTAAAGTATTAAGATCTTATTGGTTAAATGTTCATCATCTTTCAGAAAAAAGTCTGTCAACAAAAATACATAAACACATTTTCTAAATTTTCCAAGTTCCCCCAATAATGAGCATATTTTTTATGCACTTACAAACTGATAAAGTTAACATTTTTAGCAGCTAGAACCTAAAAAGTTTTCTAAACCACTGTAATTTGTCTTTGGATGAATACTGTATAAAGAAAGAAAATTAAACTATCCCAAGTTTTAAAAATGCAGGATTTGTTCCTACACACAGTAACTCATTGAAACTTACCACTAAATAGTAAACCAGCTGCTCCGTGGAGCAAAGGGCTAAGAACTGGGTCTCCACACTCCAGCATAGAGGAGGAGAGAACTGGAGAAGCCTGGGAAGCTTACAAAAGAGAAGTCAGAAAGGGGAAGCTGATAAAAGAAAACTATTCTCAAAACAATGGCTAACGGAGAATAGATATAAGCAAAAGAGACCTCCGAGAAATGGAACATTAGGATGCACATGGATGACTGCACTTAAGGAGAGTCCAGACGATGTGAAAAGCTCCATTCAGTTCTGCAAACACCCATCCAACAACAGACGTGAACCCTCCGACTGGACCAGAAGGAGACGTCACAGGGCGCCCTTCTGAGGCGTAGGGAGGGTCCCGTGGCGGTCCCACGTCACTCTGCCCTGCTGCAGACAGCCTGGCCAGCCTCTGCCCACTGGCCACTTCCCCACCCGCAAGACAGTGACACCAGCTGGAGCCTTGGAAAGCCCATGGGAACCAGAAAGGGAGGCTGGGGCACAGAAGGAATGTTTCCATTTGATTTTCCAGCTGAATCTTAGGACTCCAAGAGGGGAAAGAAAAAACAAAAGCATCTAAATGATGGTGAACTGCATTTGCCTTTCAGAGCCATAGTTTTTAAGGGGCCGGCACCATAATCTTCGGATTAAAGACTTACTTTATGCTCTGCCTCAGTGTCAAGAGAAGGTTGAGGTAGAAAAAGGAAAGAGAGGTTTTGGTTAGAGATGGAGATGAGGGCTGAGAACAACAACGACCCCTCTTGGCCACCCCAGATTTGACTTATTGTTCAAGTCTCAGGTAAATGTCACCTCCCTTCAGAAGTCTTCCTTGACCACCACACCTCCCCAATTACGTTACCCCGTTTGATGGTACCCAGGCGCTCCAAGGGGAGGAGTCATCCTTCATAGTTACCATATTTCATTATTGTCTTTGGTTGGTGTGTCTTCCCCTTCAGACAGTGAACTCCACGAGGCAAGAGACCATGGCTGCGTTGATTGTCATTGTCACTGTAGCATCTGCTTTATAGGAGCCGCCTAGGTTTCACTCATTTAAGAAATATTACTGGGATACCTTTGACTTTAAAATCTAAGAGAAGGGAGAGAAGTGCTCAGGGAAAACAATTATAGCATAGGAAGATCGATGGAGAAGGTTCCAGTAGCAAGGAAGATATCAGTATTATCAAATGCTGATAAATGCAAATTTGTAGAACCTGGGAAATCAAATGAACCTGAGGTTTTAACGTAAGGCACACTTGATCTGATAATCTGAACTGATATGTGCCATGGTTCCCCACAGGGCTACATGCAATTAAAGATCATTTTAAAGATAAAACCTGCTGGAAAAAGAGTGCCCCAATGTCACAAATAACACACTGAGTTGTAATCCATAACCTAAGGATGGAGCCGGGTGGAGAACATTTGGCAGAGGCAAGGAGGAGATAGCTGTGGGAATACAAAGCAGGCTTCCTCGCCAAATTAAAATAAAAAAAGGGATGAGATCATAAAACTGGCTCAGAAGGAAGATGGAACAGTGGAAGTCCCATTCCGAGTGGCTAAAAGCAGTGCATCTGATGAATTCTCTTCTTGCCCTGCTGGCACTTTTATCTTTCAGAAGGCAGAACTAGTGGCAAGGGCCACTCCTACTCTAGATTCAAATCTGAGCTGCAATGTTGGTGAAAAAGAGATGAAATGAAACTTAGGAGGATTCGCCTGCATCATCTTAGAGCCCTAACTGGCCAGAAAGGGGAATGCTACATCTAATTAGAATTCAGGCAGAGATCTTTATATATTCAGAAAAGTTGGTTCAGAGAAAGACAGACTGGAGGCCCATGGTTGAGAATCTGGGAGATAAGATGGCTCATGTGTTGAGAAACTCTTAAACAGGAAGGTTTTACTATGAGTCTACAAATTATCACAAGAGTGAAGAAAGAAAAGATACCTAAAGAGGCAATGTCTTGCATGGTGGGGGGAGGGCCCTCCCGATGAGCTCAGTGAGTACATGGACACTCAATAAGCATATGTTGAAAAAAATCGGTGAGAGGAAAACAGAAAATACAATCAAGGGGGAAAGAAATGTTGCCTGAAGAATATTATAAAACCGAAATCTCAGAATGAACTAAACATTTTTAAATGTTAGGGGAAAACAAGGTAACTTTAAACTTCTTTTCAGATCACGTCTCAAAAGAAAGCTAACAAATGTTAGAGAAAGTGCAGCTATGACCCCCAAGCTCTATTAAGCAGAATGATGGCCCAAAGGCAAAGAGAAGGAAAAGTGTTGGAGTGAAAGGACTTCAGTTCAAGCTAGATCAAGAGCACCTGCGATTCTAGGCCAGTTCAAGTACTAGGCCCAAGAGTGTATCCCAAGGGGCAGGGAGACTCGGTGTTGATCAGTGAACCTCCATTGCTGAGGTGGATGGGAGAAGCACCAACGTAGTGAAAGGGGGGGCAGAGGGGAAGAGGGGGAGGAAGAGCGGGAGCAGCAGCATTTGCTGTTGAGATGGAAAGTTACCTTTAAAGGAGCCAGGTAGGCTGGAGCTACTACCCTAGGGATCGGAGCACACTAAAGAAGAAACTCTGCTGGGACACACACACACACACACACCCCTCTTCAATTGACCCAACAGGACAAAGACTAGATGGGATTACTGTCACAGAATATGCTGTGACCATTCTTTTCTCACCTTCTCTTCAACCCCTTCTCCCCTGACCAGCTACCAGCCCCTTCCGACCTGCCTGCCCCATCGCACACCCCTCCTCTTCCCCCTATTGCTGTCGCCCCCCACCCAGGTGCACTGTCTTAGAAATCCGTGGGCCTCCCCGGGTGGGCCACTGTCGGGCAGCTCTGGCATCACCCGTGAGCTTGTCAGAACTTCAAAAAATCTCTGGTGCTGCACCCCAGCCAGGAATGTGTTTTAATAAGCTGTCCAGGTGCTTACTACTCAATTTAATTTAAGAACCATTATTTCAAAAGATTGGGCATTTATGGTAACCAACGAGGACTTAGGCATAGCAACTTAACCCTTCCATGCATTGTGCCTTTACTAAAAAAAAAAAAAATTATACTTCCTCTAAAAAATACATTGTAAAAGCAGCCCATAATCCAACTTTAATATGCTGGTAAATGCAAAGTTAAGTTATAGAACAATCATACCTACTGAATTGCTGATGGGTTAGCACCAAACCTTCCAGCCTGATGGGGAACCTCACATCGCAGCTTCCAACCATGTTCTGAATTTTAAAATCGAGGAATCTGGCAGGGAACCCAAGCTTCTGCACCACACGAGCATACTTTCTTGCTGCAAGTCGAGACTGCTCTTCACTGGGGAGGGCAAATGTGGTTAAAGATGACGAATCATCACGTCCTCCATATGACCTGGGCTGTATTCACACATTCCTCTGATTGCGTATCCACCATTTGAGCCATGTTTCTCTGTCAGTGTATACTATAAACCCGTAGAAGTGCAGGATGAGGACCTGTGCCCTCTACTCTTGTCCCTGGCACCCAGTAAAAGGTAAGGTACAAAGTACAGTTGTTGAACTGAACCATAGACAGACTTTTGTCTTAATTTGTCATCTATCACAATAAGATATTTTTTTTTACTTGTTTTCAGTGATTTTTAGATAAAATTAACTATCTCAATGGTTCTCAAAATGTGTCCTCAACCAGTAGCAGCACCACCTCCACCACCACCTGAGAACTTGTTAGAAATGCAGAGTCCCAGATCCCACCTCAGACATGCAGGGCCCTCCAGTGATTGTGATGCTCACTGAAATTTTAGAAGCGTCCATCTGCTGTAAAAGTGGGTGCCATTTAGGTGGGAACAGCAGCAACAAAAACAGGGACACATGCATGCACATGCATCAACATGAGGAAGATACGTGCCAACGGAATGGCACAGACATGACCCATGATGTCAGGACTTGGGTCTTTATGGAGCAAATTATATTTTAAGAAAAATATGAAAATACCTCAAAACCTGCCCAATTTTGCTCAGACTTTCTCACACAATTGTCATTCAACTCATACTCAATATGAGAAAGCGAGAAATTCATCCAACGTTGTGGCTTTGTTCTGTTTGTCCTACTCTAACCCTAAATCCATGTTGGAGAACGTGAAGTCCTGAGATCTGAGGCTTTAGTTTTCACTCAGTACTTTTCAATGGTTACTGCCAAAACAAAACGAGTGGCAGGGGTTGCCAAACGGGCAACACCTGGTGGGTGAATCACGTGAACTCTACCCTCTCTTCTGGGTCAGCCCCATCTTTAAGCTGAAACTCAGAAGCACCTGAAAGAGAAGCCAGATGGAACGTGTTTGCTGGACCAAAGGAAGAGCGCGATTCTCTTTCCTATCTGGATCCTTCACAACACTGCAAGGATCTGAATCGTATTAATCCAGAATTGTATTAATTACTTCACCTATTTCGCCTCACTTCACGTTGATTCTCCTCACCCACTTCTAACTCCTGAAATGTCCCTAGCAAGGCATGTCCCCAAGTTAGCAGTGAAACAAAATGTTTCCATTTTGAAAAGCGCCATTTCACCTAATTGACCCATTACATTTGCCATGGGCCTATAAGATCAAATTTCAAGAATCTGCATAGCCATGTAGTTTCTTGGGATATTAGTTGTGACTATCACATAGAAATTTCCACTCAAAAAACTAACAGAGACTACATACGTGTTATTCTACAAACATTAGAAAATACATTAAGAACCTTGAAATGTCGCCATCAGTGGTGGAAACCACTAATAAGTTTGACTCTTCTGCATTTTCCCTGTGCAATCGCAGGCATCCCTCACTATGCAAACTCTGGTTATTACAACTAAAGAGAACAGGTTTGATAAATTTGTGGAGATATTCTGATATCTCTCATACTAACCAAATGTTGACACCTCTATCCAAAACTCAAGAACCAGGTTGACTTGGGTAGCAATAGCTCCTATTATCTGAACTCACGATCCAAGCTTTCACTGTCAGATGTTAGGAACCAAATAAATTCAGATAGGGAAAGATACTCATGAGTGTGTGTAACATGAGCATATTTTAAAGTGAAAGTTGGATAATAAACCTATAATTAGTTGCCTGCTCTTCCCTCCCCAAACTAAACTCGATATGATTATCCTTCCAACTCAATATAAATGTCTGTATTTTAATGGCTAAATACAATTTTATTTTATGATCTAATCAAACCTCTATTACTGCATGTTTGATTTGTTTCTCCTCTGGTTTAAACAATGCTGAAATGAATATATGCAGATATTTTGCAGAGTTGCCCAATAATGATTTAATAATGGAGATTTCTTGGTCAAAGGGTACACAGATCAACAGAAGAAAAAGCCTAGAAACTTGCTCAAACAGATATAAAAAACTTAACTAGTAAAAACAGGTGTGTGTGTGTGAGGGTGATGGAATAAGAATAGATTCTTCAATAAATGTATCAGGGCACTGACTGTCACTTGAAAAAAATTATTTATCTTACATTGAAATAAAATTCTAGACCTGCTCTGCCCAATATGGTAGTACTGGCTACACATGGCTATTAAAATTTAAATTAACTAAAACTAAATTAAAAATTCAATTCCTTTATTGTATTAACTATATTTCAGGTGCTCAATAGGCACATGTGACTAGGGGCTACCACATTGGACAGAACAGATATAGAACATTTCCATCATCTAGAGAAAGCTCTAGAGGAATCAAAACATCACTTTCCCTTCCTCAATACAAAGCAGGACCTGAAAAAGGCCAGAAAAATATATGGAGGTCAATATTTATATAATGTTGTACAAGGGGAATGCCTTCCTAACATTGAAATTGAAATTGTAAAGAAACATTGAAATTGTAAAGAANGCTTGAATCCAAACATTGAAATTGTAAAGAAAAAACTGGATAGACTGACTATACACACAAAAAATTAAATTGTGTAANCATTGAAATTGAAATTGTAAAGAAACATTGAAATTGTAAAGAAAAAACTGGATAGACTGACTATACACACAAAAAATTAAATTGTGTAAAAATAAAACCCAAAAGTTATAAAACACCATTAACATTAATCTGGGGAAAATATTCACAGTATAAAATGGTGAAAATACTTAAGTATCTTCAAAGAATATTGGGGGGGGGGAAGTAGGCAGTTTATATCCTTATGAAAAATTAGTCACACTAGTAAATCAAGGAAATGTCATTAAAACAACATAGCTCTTTGCCAATCAATTTGGCAAATATAAAACATATTAACACCCAGTGTTCGCTGGAGAAAATGAACACTCAGTACATCTCTAGAATGAGGGGAAATTGGCACAGCCTTTCAGGAAGACAATTTGCTACTCATCTTGAGTACTCGGGAGGAGCAGCAGCTCCCCACTGCAGTGTCAGGGTGAAAGGTTCTACTCAGCACAGCACACGGCTGCCTCCGCATGAGGTCTGCGGGCCATGAGCCTTTTAAGAGATGCCCCCTGAGCTAATGCTCAAGCTAATGGTCAAGAAATGTCTAATTCCCCTCCTTGAAAAAGTCCTATCCATTTATCAGCAATGTGGAAAATACACAAGAACTACATCCCCAGGTGTATAACAGGCTTTATCACCATGGTAGCTTATTTTCTTTTTAATGCACCTTAAAAACAAGTTTTAACAGCCTAGTGAAGCCCCCTCGGTTTAAGAGGGGACTGTAAAGTGGGATATAAGTCAGCATTATGGGGCTGAATGTTTTTAGCCCTAAATTTGGCACTTCACGAACTTAACTCTTTAGCCAAGTATTTTGCTTCTCTGTGTTTTAGAACATTAATGCTATCCTCCGTTGTTTTGCATACTGAATTCCTTGTCTGGTAGGCGCGGGGGGTGTTCTTCATACCTTTTGGCTCCTGTGCAGACCATTTTCCCAGAGCTAAATATGAGGGCTGTTGTCCTGGGCTCTCGGATCCTCATTATGACAGCAGCAAACCTCTACACACAGAAGCCAAAAGCAGAATTAGCCTCTGCTAGAGTTAACACCACTCTAGTTGAAAAGCTGAGCTGGACCTGAAAACAGTCTTGAATAAACTGAGATTGGGTGGGAAAACTAAACAATGTCTGGGTCAATTCTGCCTACATTAAGATTAAGCAACCAAAGAGTCACGATTCTAAAATGTACTTAGAAAAAAACAGGCAAAAATAACAACAGTGAAGCTAAAGTTTGAGTGCCTGATGTGTTTCAGGCCCTATTCTAAGAGCTTTCCCGGTTTTCTCTCATTTATCCTCATAACAGGACTCGGGGAAGTCCACTGTTATGCCCATTTAGTGCACAGGGAAACTAAGCGGTTATTTAACTTCCAACATTCCGCAGGCAATGTGAAAGGTGAGATTTGAAACCACTCCTCCTCTGACTCTGCTTTTTGCTTTGAAACACTTCCTTTTTCTTTCAAAGAATCTTTGAAAAAAATTAAAGGAATGCTACAGGCTTGCCAGACTCTAGAATGCACTAAAGAGCAGCCAAAACAAAGAACGGAATATGTATATTGATAGGCATGCTGAAGATGAATGACGAAAAGCTGATCTGTCAGGTTCTGGCCTGTCATAGTAGTTTTCAAAGTGTGGCCCACAGGCCAGCAGCAGGGGCAAGCCCTCCGAGTGGCGCTGCTGCAGGGGAGGGCTGAGAACCACTGGCCTGCCACAGCGCCATGTCCCTTAAGGACCTGCTCTCCCTACTGGGCCTACGCAGACACCCCTTCTCCGCTACCCCGCCATCACACTGGGAAAGAAAGTGGCCTGGGTACTAGGCAAGACTTCAAGTTCTGGGGGCCCGGGCTACTCCACAGGACCAAGGTGGGGCCAGCAATTTCAGATTTGAAGTGTTGGCAGATAGTAAAAGAACCCGGAGTCAGAACTACACAGAGCTGATCAAGTCCTAATAGTGATTTCCTGGTGTTTACTAAAAAGATAGTGATCTCACCCGCTATTCATTTTGTTACATTCTTATGGTAGCTTAAGTGCCAAGACAATTTCTTCAGCTGTCAAGCCCAAGTTGGACAGGTCCTATACCCTAAAATAAAATGAGGGGAGGGCCCGGCCGGCGTGGCTCAGTGGTTGAGTGTCGACCCATGAACCAGGAGGTCACGGTTTGATCCCGGGTCAGGGGTCAGGGCACATGCCTGGGTTTCGGGCTTGATCCCCAGTCGGGGGCGTGCAGGAGGCAGACAATCAATGACTCTTGATGTTTCTCTCTCTCTCCCTCTCCTTTCCTCTCTCTGAAACCAATATAAAAAATATTTAAAATAAAATAAAATAAAATGAGGGGAGAGCTGAGGATGGTAGAGAATAAAATATGCTTAAAATGCTGCTTGCTCAGTCATTTTAGCGGTCAGTTATTGCGGCAACTGTAAGAATCTCGTTGTGTTTCTGTCCTCATAGCCAGCTGCGTGAAATATAAAAAGGAGAGCGATATTGCAATCGGCTAACATTCAGGTAACATTTGGATTCAGATGTCAGCACGACACCACCACAGCAAACACACATAGTCTGTAAAGGGCAGACGCTGGCAAGGTCCTCTGGGCTCCTACTAATGTGGTCTTTTTCATCCAACTCCATAAATCCTCTACCACCCAAGACAGTGAACTTTTCCCCAGGTCTTACTTGCCTTTATACTCCTAAGTACAGAGCCTTTCAAATCATTAAATGCTGGTTGAATTAACAAATCCATTTCCTAGGTAAATAGACCATTGAAAATGGGATGCCTGTCCCTAGCAGGACACAAGAAAAAAATAGATTTTATTAAACTTTGAGAGGGGTGTGTGTGGGGGGGATCCTTGAATCTTACATTAATAAGTAGAAGCTTGAACTTGACACTTTAAACAATTTAGCTTTCTCAAAGGAGAAACTGTAACCGGAAAAATACGTAAGCGCCGGCTAGGTGGGACAACATTTAGAGAAAATTACTTCCAGACATATGATAGAATTTTAAGAAACCTAGCACCCCCATACTCAGGCTGAAAATAATCATACTGAAAAAACTTGCTGAATGAAAAGGGAAAGATCTTAACTTTGGGGAATTGCTCAATTACTGTTTTCTCCAGCATAGAGAATGAGATCGTTTTTTAGAACTTCAAAACAGAGAATGAGGCAATTAACCTTTTAAGTTGCCAAAAGTTTTTCACTCACAAATTTGTTCTTTTAAAGAAATACAAACAAAGGAATACATCAATATCTTGATCACATGAAAGAGACAAATCTGAATGGAAGCTAATTGTTGAAAGGAATTCTGAGACACTTTACCTTTGGGTTATATTCTGCATTTTTTGCATGCAAAGCTATTTTCTTCAGATCCAATTTGCAGGCAAGGTTTGCAGTAGAAACTATATTCCTGAAGAAATAAGTCAACTTAGAAAATCATATTAGATATAAAAAGTAAAAAAGAATTAAAACTAACTTCCTCATTTCATAGGTTGTATATTAGTGACTTGGTAGAGGGAGAATTACTCTAAATTTGAAATACATAGTAACATGGTCCCTAGTAAAATGTAAAAATTCCAAAGAGGCACTATAATAAAATAGCTTTTCCTAAAATGTTATGACTAGTTGACTAAAATTAAGCTCTAAATCTTTTTCAAAACTATGCCTCAAAATAGAGAGCACAATTCCTAATCAATTTGCAAAATGAATTCAAGTTTACATCTTTATATTCTTTACATTTAGCTAACCCCAACAACAATTTTCAGCAACTACAGAGCCTTAGTATAAATACAATCTTTCAAGAATGTGTGTATATATATATATATATATATATATATATATATATATATATATTTTTTTNTATATATATAAATGTAAAATTGGTGATATGTGTAGGGTTCTTTATTTTCTTTTTTTTTTTTTATGTCTTTATTGATTTCTGAGAGACAGGAAGGGAGAGGGAGAGACAGAAGCATCAATGATGAGTCATTGATCGGCTGCCTCCTGCACGGCCCCTGCTGAAGATCGGGCCCGCCACCCGGGCATGTGCTCTGACTGGAAATCGAACCTTGATCTCCTGGATCCTAGGTCGATGCTCAACCACTGAGCAACACCAACTGGACAAGAATATATATATTCTTAATCCCCTCCTAAGAAATCCTGAATTAGTGCTTCATTTTACAGAAAACAGAACTGTCTAAAGCCACAATCTATTAAGAACTGATAAAACAAAGAATAATAAAATCTGAAATTCTCTTCCTTACACTATTATCCTGAAATCAGTTGCGTCACATTCAGGAATATAAAATATGTACCCAGAAGTATCACCCATTTAAAAAACCCCAACAAGCAACTTACTGTAGTTGAGGAACAATTTCAGAACATTCCGAAACAGGGGTCATTGGCGTCATGGGAGTGATGGACGCAAGAGGCAAGGAGTCTGTTTTCTCAGGAGGTGGCTGGACTGAGTCAGCATCAGCAGGGTGCAGGTGTGAGTGGGAACTTGACGAACTGCTGCTGTTGAAGCCCAGGCCAACGTCCTGCTGGCTGGCTAAGAGCAGCCTACCTGGCTGACTTTGAGTTTTACAGTCTTCTTCCATTTCATGCTTGCTTCTAATGACAGTCTGGTCTCTGTTTTCTTGGGTAAGCTCATCTGGTAGGAAGCTCAGATCCACAGATGAGAAACCACCAGATGTTTCTTTGACTTTTTCAAGGTGTGAATTAAACGCGGCCTCTGGATTGGATGAATTGTATATGTAGATGTCATACGGTGCAACTGGGCTGAGCAGGGGCAACGCGGGTGGGGCGAGGTCATCCTAGGCCGTTCCAAAACAGACAAAACACAGCAAAAGGACAGCATGTCACACCAATGGGACACCACCTCGGCCAGCAGGCAGTGTGCTCAGGATAAGGGGCAGTCCAATACAGCTGATCTTCATGCTCTGTCTCTCTCCACAAGGTATCACTGAAGTTCTATTATAGTGTTACAGCACACTTAATAGAAACCGAACAGTATATCTTAGCATCCAGAAAAAGCATTTTTCCATAAAATGCTTGTCCTAAGTTGCCGCCCTAAATCCAATTTTGTAATAGAGGTGATTGAGCAACCATGCTCTAAATTACATGTAGCTTGCAGAGAACAAATTTACTCTACTCCTTAAATTGATTATAAACTTTAGTTAATTTAAAGTTTGGCTTTTTTGAGTTTTACATTCATACTTTAAATAGAACAATAAGTGAAAGGAGTTTAAGATACAGCTTGAGTGCTAGTCAGGACTCCACTGAGGACTTACTGCTATTCCTTCTAGTCAAACGAGAGATGAGAAAATGTTCTAATTATTGTGAATTTGCAATAGAAAAAGGTTATTGTATTTCCAGCCCAGGGAAGGCTGCTCCACTTACATTACTGTCAACTGAGGGAATGAGGTGTGTAACCGAGGGAAGCAGCAAGTGTAAAATTCATGGAGTTGTAGTGAAAAAAATTGATTACCTTGGTACATATATTACCACCTGCTTCACCCAAGTTGCAGGCCGAGATTAGATCTTACTTCTGACAACTGAATAGTCACAAACACCTCTTCATCTCTGTATCTTTTCGGTGACAAAACTACTTCAACTAAGATAAGATGACTAGCCAGATCCTATTGAATTGCTCCGGTACTACAAGCCCAGCAGATGGCAGGGGTGACTAATTGATCAAAGAAAACACTTAGAAGAATGCATGCATTCTCTTGAAATACAATTTTTGACCTTATTTCATTTTGAATTGTGTAATTAGCCCGCATCTCACCCACCCCACCCCATCCCACAGACTGGCCCTAAGAAAAGTGAGGTAGGGACGATAGCCCTGATTCCTTTGTCTCTCCTGTCCTGGCTGGAAAGGATCTCATCAGCCAATTTACACTAAAGCACCGATATCTGCAAAAAGTCAGTGTCTCCTCCCTTCTTCCCACTGTGGTATTTTAGCAGGGGGCAAAGCTCTCACCCAGGGAAACAACTTCAACAAGGAATTTAAAATGGGGATGGAAGGAAACTTGACTTGGGGTGGTGAACACACAATACAATATACAGATGATGTATTATAGTACTGTATACCTGAAACCTATATAATGTTATTAACCAATGTCACCCTAATAAATTCAATAAAAAATAGAAATAAATTTTAAAAATTATATATA